TTGTCTTGGCGATTACCTTGGCAACTCGAGGGTTTTGAAGTAGAAATGTCAAATTGTTTACGTAAACTTCCTAAATCCTCGTCGAGTCCTTTTCATTTCCTACTTAAGATGTTTTTGGAGTTTTAAGTCTTGGCATATCTTAAGACCTTCTTTTTGGGTTAAACTAATTAGTTCACCATAAGTTAATTGGTCATAAGGAATTTGGTCATCAAAAGCATCCTTAATTCGGGTTCTAACCTTTTCTCCTAAGAGGGTTGGTAAACCCGCAAGGAATTTCTCCTTCCAAAAAGGTTGGTTTGAGTCTTCCCTAAGCATAACTCGGTCAGGAAAATGGTTTTGTAATACCGGAAATCACTAAGTTTCTTACACCTAAGGTTACTAAGAAGCTCGGCGTTTTTGTCTTTGAGATGAGAAGGGTCACCTATGAAATGAAGGGAAATAGTTAAGATGAGGGTGGACACAAGCATCTTGGATGGGTTCACCTAAGTCATCTAGGATAGGGAGACCTTCTTGATCCGTTTGAATGGCATTTAAAATTTCCATATGATGTTGGGCGATGAGATGATAGTCCCACCATCCTTTGAGTTGACCGTAAAATCCGACAATAAGCAATTCAGCCTATCACACGGTCGAGAGTACCAGTTTGGGTTTTGTAAGCGTTAGCGACCATGGTCATTTGCTGGAGTAAACTAAGGATATTGTACTCCGATAGGCCATCTATAGTCCATTCGTAAATGGAAGAGGCATTAAATCTAGGTTGTGCTAACTTGTTTGGCATCTCACCTATGTCGTGGCGATAATCATAGGTAATGGGTTTTTCCAATGGAACTTATTAATTTCGGGGACGGATTCTGTCTCTAATTTTTTATCTAAAACATTCACACTATTGGATAAAGGAGTATCGGGAGCTACATGCTTAGAGGTTCCCTCGAAGATATTCCTATCTTACTAAGTTGGTCTCTAATGGCTTTGGCAAATTCGAGTTTGTTTGTTTGTATCCGGTTTTGACTCGATCTAGAAACCCGAAAGGGTTTGAAGATTGGGTTTTTCAGCTTCCGGTCTTTGGTTTCTACAGGAGCCAAGGAAACAACGAGGTTTTGGGGTAGGAGCAACAACTGTCCGCTCGGATATGGGATTCAATCCTAACAAGTCGTTTTCCTATGGTTTGGAGATTGGTATTGGTAAAATTGTTCCGTTGAACAATGTTTTTGATGTTGATCGAGTCATCATCTTTAGGGATTTTGTATGGACAAGCTTTTATTTTGGTTTCTCCATGAGAGAATGTCAATTTCCTAGGTGGTGGATGGTCGATCGAATCATCCGTCCTTCCACTTCCCATGTAGGGGTTTTGTTCCTAACGAGTCATCGGTTTCACGGATCTTGAAAGGATAGGAAATATCATTTACGGAAGCATATATCTCAAACCAATCAAAGAATAATATATGAACTTTATGAGTATGCACAAATTCATAAAATTCGTTTTGAATATCCTTCCTGGTAGCCGAAATGTTTTTGAAGAACCAAATTCGTTTTTCAGAATTATGTTTTGCATAGAAATCATCATGCGGATATTATTTATCTACCGTAAAACTATCATCGTACAAAGCATTACATTCATGTGCAATATTATCGATGATAACGGATGCAGCGAGGAGATGCAGGAGGAGAATCCTCTTGGTTTGAATATCCGGGTTTTGGAATATGGGTACCGTAATCAATGTTTTATAAAACTAGGCTAGGGACATCCGAGGTTGAAAACCTACGTGGTTGTCTAAGGGATGGCGTACTCGATCCAAGTCCGTATCTCTCCTAACATTTGGTAAATTTATGACCGAAGGAATCTCGTAAAATCTTCCTAGGTCATAAGTCATGGAACTAGAGGCAACATCGGAAAATCTATCATTGGTAAATTTTCTCGTCAAACGAGAGTCTAACACTCCCATCCATTTGTTGTTCTATGGATCCGATTTGTGTGTTTGGTTTTGGGACCTCAAGAACGGATAAAGATCCGGGTTTTGTAATTTCTTCCAAGATCCATTCATCCGGAAGCACTATGTCTTTCCACCTAATGGGTCCGGGAATAATAGTATTAGATTTGGTCAAATCTGTTTGCGGAAGAAGGGTTTCACCTTTGGTCGATCGCCTTTTATGCTTAGATGCAAATGCGTAATTCATGGCTTTGTAATGAAGTTTTGTAATTAATGCAACTGGAATAGATCCATCCATCATATGATAATTATGAGTTTTAACTTGCAGAACCAATGATTCAATAATATTTTTGTCATTCAAGGAAACAAGTAAAATTTGGATAACAATCAAAAGAAATAGGTCCACCGCATAGACTAGACTCAATTGAACTTAACAAAGAGTCTTGAAAATTTGTAAACCTATTGTCTCTAAGGATCGCTAGGATTGAGGTGTTCAATCCCTCTTTTGTAAGTGGTTTAATCCCTACTTGAACTAAACCAATATGAATGTATTTAAAACCTTTGTCTTTATGTTTTTGAATAGTTTTGGAAGAAAGAAGATGAATTGTTTCAAATGGTTTTGAGAGCTGAATATCACGCTCCTCGGTTTTGATAGTGAAATCGGTTTTGAAAAGTCCATATTTGCTGGTTTTGTAAATCTCATCTTTGTGAATCTTGGGTATTGCCTAATCATCAATTTGTTTTTCAAAATCTTCTATGACATATTCTACACTATTGATTACCTTCTTAGACTCGAAGAATCGAAGCGAAAAATGCAGAAAAGGAGGTAGATCTACAAAACATAGAATCCATACCTAGACTATGGTTCGGAGGTTTTGGGTACGCGAGTTATGAAAGCGACTCCTCCGATTTACCGCCCTATCCGTCGGGACTTCCTACGAGCATGCTAACTCGCTTGTCTATACCCTAGACTCCGTAACACGATCTAAACATGAAGACTATAAACCATAAACATACAACCCCACCAACAACTTAGGCTTTGATAACAATGAATTCAAGCTATTCATGATCGGTAATTTGATTTTGCTCACAAAAAATGTATCATAAAACTTAATAAAATTGTACGCCTAAGAACTTAAATTCTATTTACAAGGTTTTGACAACGTATCGCCTTGACAAGAAATGATACATGCATGGTTGCGCAAGCAAGGTGCCGGTTTCATACTTTTTGGAGAGAAAAAAAAAAAAACCTTTGAAGTTATACTCGTAAGAGATAACACATTAAAGATGGTCTTCTTGATTATTTGTTTTAGCATGTTGTCGGAATTTAGAAAAATAAAAGTTGATGAAGGAATTTGTGAATTGATAGAGCACAAATGGATCATGGAATGGTTCGAATGCAATTTAAGCGAGCACATCAAAGTCGGATCAATTTCTACGTATTTTAATACATAAAAGCAAAAAGGATACTTCCGCTTATATTGAAGGACTTAAAGAGGCCAAACAAACCGTTGATAAATATGGCTTGAAATTTTTTAGATAAAACAAGTTTTTTTAACCGCATTATAATATCGATCGGACAAAACATATAAAATTATGTTTTAAAAATTATTTTAGTTTTATGTTCTGTATTATATTATGTATATATCAAAATATATTAAATCAAAATTGAATAAAAATTAATTTATTTTTTTAATCAAATTTTTTTTATTGATTATTCTTTATATTTTTCATAATTTTTTGATTAAAAAATTATTTATTTATCTCTATCCACGAACTAAAAAAAATTTATAATAGTATAAAAAAGTTAAAATCAAGGGATTCTTAGCTAAAAACTTATTTGTAAATTGTTTTTTCTAAAAATTTTTTTACCTTAAAAATTTTAATTAAAAAAATTAGAGAAAAAAAAAAAGAAAGGACCAAAGTGATAAAAAAGAGAGACTAAAATTAAAAAATATTTACAAACTAAAAAGCAATGTTTAAAAAAGAAGAACCAAAATATAATGTTAAGAAAAATTTTATAATAAATATTTTTAAAATATTTGAAAACTATAAAAATACCACTAAAGAAATAATACAAATGAGTCTTGGTGAATAATACGAATAAATCTAAACGAATAATGTTTCAAATAATATAATAAATAGAAATCGATTATTGTACTTTATTATTATTATTATTATTTTAATTTTTCATTCCAAGATAGGGTGCATGTTAGACAACTCAAGCATGACAAAATGGATGTTCAAGATATATACCTCTCTCTCTCTCTCTCTCTAACACCAGGAAGCAGCGACGAAATTGCTCTTATATGTATCGTTTAACATGCTAATATGAAATGTCGCTCTCACCAACATGCACTAAATATCGACACAATGCAATTTATTATCACACAACAAAAGTGATACTCTACAGGGAACTCTGCCATCATAAATTTGCATTTTCTCTTATGGTGTTTTTCACTGCCTATGGAGATTTTGTGCACTCACTTCTTTAGATGCACAATTTGAGTTAATAACAACAACAATAATAATAATAAAACATGAATTTCGTAGGTCATAAATAAAAAAAGAAAAAAAATAAAAGTGAAATTATATAGGCATTCCTTTGATGGTGAACATAGAAATTTTTTTTTTAAGAAATAAAAATTCAAAAATAAATAAAATTAAAAAAAAAGGGTCTAATTTTAGTATTGTCATTGATGAATTTGTATGTTTTATAGTTAAATTAATTGAAACCAATAAAAATAACACTATCCATACGAATTTATGTTATGAATACGAATTGAAAAGGGTTCATTCGAGTTCAGGAGTCCTTATCCTATCGATTGTCTTTATGAGATTTGATATCTTTGAAATTTATTAAAACAATCCTTGTATTATTATTCCATCCATACCATTGTCCTTTCGTCACCAATGGCGTTATATATTTTCTACTTTGGTATATGCTCTTTTATATTTGAAAAAATTCATAAAAAAAAATAAATAAATAGTTTAAATAATTTTGGTTCCCCAACACACTCAAGAGTTCCTCATGACCAAATGATTCTACGATCCAGCCATCACCATGTTAAGCTACAGACAGTATGCGCAGGCTCGTAGCTCTTCTAGTTGCTCATGTTCTTCTACCTCCTCATCTAGCAAAAAATCAATATCAGGAATATATCCAGCTGACTTCATCTCTCCGATTAGCACCCCAAGCTTCTCATATATCTCTTCGTGTCTTGGATGACCTTTGTCTCCAACAAGAAATGTATGCACCTCATCTTTTACTTCAACCCAGCTGCAACCTGGTTCCTTTTTTAGCTTATTATGCCTCATCATCTTTCTCATCTCTGAAACATTACCCCACATTCCTGCATCAGCATAAACGTTTGATAGAAGGATGCAAGCAGAAGAGTCTTGTGGATCCAATTGCAAAAGGGCACTCGTTGCTTTTTCTGCAACCTCTACATTCCCATGGATCTTGCAAACACTGAGCAGATTTCTCCAGACAACAGCATCGGCTTCAAAAGGCATCTCTTGAATAACCTTCCATGCCTCATCAATGCGCCCTGATCTCCCTAGTATGTCAACCATACATGAGTAGTGCTCTACTTGAGGATCTAAACTATACTCACTCAGCATGACATCAAAGTAATGCAGCCCTAAATCAACAAGCCCCATGTGTGCACAAGCTCTGAGGACAGAAACAAAAGTTGCATGGTTTGGCTTTACGTTCTCAAGTTGCATACACTCAAAAAGTTGTAAAGCCTCTTCTCCAAGACCATGATGAGCATAGCCACAAAGCATGGCATTCCATGTTACAAAATCCCTATTGGGTGCTTTCTCAAACATCAGCTGGGAATCTTGCATGTTTCCACACTTCGAGTACATATCAACAATAGTGCTGCATATGTACACATCCGATTGCAGTTCTAGCTTGATAATTTGAGCATGCATTTGCTTCCCAAGACCAACAGTAGCTAAATTAGCACAAGCATCAAGAATAGCAGCATAAGTGAAGTTGTCTGGCTTTATGCCCATTTCCAGCATTCTAGAAAAGAACCGGTGCGCATCCTCACTTTGTTGTAGCAGTGAGAATCCAGAAATAATTGCATTCCATGAAACCATTGTCTTTTGTTCTGTTCTGTCATGGATTTTACCTGCTTCTTCTATCATTCTGCACTTGCAGTACATATCAACAAGAGCAGCACCCACAAACGAGTCAAAGCCCATTCCAGATTTAATAATTCTAGTATGGATCTCCATGCCGGTGTTCAAAGCTTGTAGACCAGCACAAGCTTTCAAGACACTGCCATAAGTGAAGTCATCAGGTTCCACCCTAGAGCAAAGCATTGATGCAAAAAGGGCAAGTGTTTCCTCTTCGATTCCATTCTGCTCATAAGCTGCAATAATTGCATTCCAAGACACAGCATCTCTCCTTTCCATCATATCAAACAGATCAGAAGCTTCAGCAAGAGCCCTGCATTTACCATACATGTCAAGGATGGCATTAGCAACACAAATATTTGACATAGAAATTCTCTTAACTGCTAATCCATGCACTTGAAGTCCCTCCCAATATCCTCTGATGGATGCACAAGCATTTAATGCCCCAGATAGAGTTATTTCATCAAAACCAAGGCCTGTCTTCAACAGAAGCTGAAATGACTGCAAAGCTTGAAAGCCTCGATCACTTCTGGAATACCCAACAATAAGGGCATTGTAAGATTGCAAACTACGTTTCGGCATCAAGTTAAATACTGTCTGAGCATTAGTCATCCTGCTACATTTTGCATACATATCTAAAGTGGCAGTTCCTACAATGACATCAGATCCAAAAGCACTCTTTAAAGCATGGCTATGCAACTCTTTACCCAATTTTAATGCTGACAACCCTGCACAGGACCTGAAAAGACTAGCATAGATAGATTGACCAACCCCAACTCCCACCCTTTGCATCTCTTTGAACAACTCTAACCCCTCAATACTCCGATTATTTTGAATGCAACCAGCAATCATTGCACTCCAAGAAACCCAATTCTTGTCAGGAAGATGAGTAAAAACTGAAAGCGAATCATCTAATCTCTTACACTTTGCATACATAGCAAGCAAAGCACTTCCAGTGACCACATCAATATCAAATCCAAACTTCACCACAAGTCCATGAATCTGAACCCCCACATCAAACTCTTCCAAAAACGCACATGCTTTCAAAACAACAGAAAAGCTCGCTCGGTCAAAACCCACACCAAATCTCCCCATCTCCAAAAAAACACCAATCGACTTCTGACACTCGCCATTCTGCAGAAACCCAGAAATCATTGAATTCCATGACACCACATCTCTCTCCGGCATCTCATGAAAAAACCGCCTTGCAATACCCATTTCCCCACAGCTAGCATATCCAGAAATAATCGAGTTATAAGAAATCACATCCCTCTGAGACATTTTATCAAACACCTTGCACGCAGAGTCCAAATGCAAACATTCGACGTACATTTGGATCAAACAATTGGACACAAAGGTTGTTGGTTGAAACCCGCATAAAATCATGCGAGCATGAGCTTGCTTTCCAGGATTCAGGGAGTTTTGTTTCGAGCATTCTTGGTAAAAATGGGAAAAAGTTCGGAACTTGGTGGGTGGATTTGTTTGTTTTTGAGTAAGTGTGGAGATTGTGGAGAAAGTGAAGATGGATATTGGTGGGTTTTTCTTGTAGAGAGGTTTTGTGTGATAAGAGAAGAAGAGTCTTGTTAGTAGCCATGTTTGAGAGGTGTGGACTGCCATGAACCATGGCACTCATGCTTTGGCGGGCCTTGCACCCTTTAAAATTCAGTTGTTTTCGGCCTCTATAATAATGTGACGATGAAAATAAAGCTTAACTACAAAAAAGCCCCTAATCTATATGCTTGTCAGCAATGTTATCCTGGCAAGTGAATGTATTTTTTGCATTATCATCTAGGATTGGAATCCTAAAAGAGATCGTAGGAAATTATTATTAGTATTATTATTATTTGAATACATCATTTCTACTTAATATTACATAGAAACAGACTAGTTTCTATCCTAAACAAAAAATAATTCGAAAATAAATTTATTGTTAAAACTAAAACAAGAAGAAAAGAAAAAAGGTAAAGTGACTTAATAGCTGTTGTGCTCAGATTCTAGTGGTGGATGATTATTGAAGTTATCCTTGAAGCTGCTTCAATGACAGCTACATTTTGCCACTTAATTTTGAAAGGGTTTAATGGTAAAAATTATATTTAAACTATTGATTTTTAACAATTTAAGCCTTATATTATTATCAATTTAGACTATTTAAACTTTAAATTATTATTTTTTGAGTAAATGTTATCATTTCTTCATTATCACTAATGGTCAAAACAATCATTAATTGAAATATAGTTTAGTGATAAAATTTTATCCTTAAGCTATTAAAATTATATCAAAATAAACCTTATACTATCAATTTGAACGATAAAATATTACTTTCTAGGTAAATTTATCATTTGTCATTATTTTTAACAGTAAAAGTACTTACCGTTTTGTTTTTTAATAGTTAGCTTTAAGCAAGTTTAGATGATATTTTTTTTTATATATAAATTTAACTTTTGTTGTTGGATAATTAATAATGTGTAATGGATCCATCTAATAATTAAAAAAAAAATTAAATTGATAATTTTTTTAAGAATTAAAATTAATTTAAAAATATTTAATAATAATTAGCTTTAAGGTAGCCAGGATGTTTTATATATATGGATCTTGCTTTTGTTATTAGATAATTAATGATGTGCAATTGATTCATCTAGTTGAAGAAAAAAAAATAAAGTACTAATTTTTTTAAAAATTAATTTTAATTCTAAAAAAAATCAAATACTTAAAACAATGTCATTTTAAGTGTTTCAATTAACAGTAATTGATTGTTAAAAATAATAAAAGATTGTAAAAATTTGAAGTTCAAATAGGTCAAATTGATAATATAGACCTTAATTTGTCATAACTCTAATAAGTTGGGGGTAAATTTTTTCATTAAACTATATTTTAATTGGTAGTTAATGTTTTGGGGTCGTTAAAGACAATAAAAAAGGAGTAATATTTGTTCGAAAATAATAATTTGAAATCTAAATAGCTAAATTAATAATATGAGTATTAAATTGCTATAACTCAATAATTTGGATGTAATTTTTGCCATTAAATTATTTGAAAACTTTGCTTATCTTCAATAAAAGAGGAACTCAGTTGATTGGTATTGGTTCGAATTTGAAGAATTCAGATTATTGACTACAAAATCCTTTGTTTATGAATCGTGTTATCTAACACTTTTAATATTGCACTTTCATCCACAATTCTTTAAAAATACTTGACGTGTTTTAAAAACATTTGGTATGTACAAAAAAAGAAAAAAAATTATTATGAAAATCTCTTAATTAAAACAAAAATTGTTTCGCAAATTGAAGTTTTCTTTTCCTTTTTTTATTTGGCACATATATACATTTTTTTTTCCCTTCTCAAGTGATTTTGGGTCTTAATGTTCTTATGGTGAAAAAGTTTTATTTAACAGAACCCGTTAACTATTTCCCAAAGCATAGCTTAGGGCCAGGAATTTTGAATCAAGTTAAAAGGAGAGGAGAATTTTATTGCATTCAAGTTGTTCATTGTGTACGCAAAAGTTAATATAGCACAAGGCCAAGAAATTTACAAATGGTGATCTTGAAATCAAAAGGCAGAAGATACAAGCCCAGTGAATTCATAAACTTTTTCCTCCCTTCTTCTGCAGGTATCAAAAAGAAATGATAATATAATTTGTGCTGACAATTTTTCTCTGGCCCTTGGAATTTTCTATAATAGCTTGGAGTAACTCGTTTAACCTCACCAATAGCTCAGTAGATTATGTTTTTCGTAAGATTATTCTGTTGACCAGATTGAAAAGCAACTTGATCAACAACTGAAAAGTTCAACCCTGAACAACGAGATTGCTTTTGCCTCTTCCGCAAATTCTGGAGACATGCTTGTTATCTGCAGTGTTTCGGGATCTTTAAGACTTTCAAGGCCTTTTGGAGGCAACTTTAGTTTACGACACCAACCAATGGTTATAACCTGAAGCTTTTCCATTGCTCCTTTCTCTGTCTTTGTCCATTCAGCTAATTCTTCAAAGCGAGAAATTGATAGTCTCTTGAGCTTCGGGAATCCAGCAACATCATCACAGCAAATCTGCTTCCCTTTGAAAGCCTTAGACAATGAAAGGACAACAAGATTGGGCAGATGCTGGAGGTTTGAGATGGGGTCTTGACTCAACATGCAGTCCCATAGATGCAAATATTTGAGAGAGCGTAGCCTGCTTATCCACATCAGCAAATCTCTAATCCAACCTCCAACTCGTAACTTCTCCAAGTTGTCAAGAGGATTTAATATTTTTATTTGAATTTCCTTTCTCCAAGCACATTTTATGGTTAGGGAATTCAGGTCTTTCATCTGATTGATGGATTCTGACAGGCAAAGAGAATTTTTTCCACCTTCTACCTCTCCCACCGACAGCTTCAGAAGTTTAGGAAGGTGGTTTAGTCCTAAAGCGACATTGTGTGTAAGTTTCACACTTGCTAGTGTTTGAAGGTCTTTGAGAAACATGATCTCTGCATCCAACTTCACCACCCTGTTACCATATGAATCTGCGAGAAGAAGGTGCTTCAACATCTTGAGGCTATCAAAGCCACTAGGCAAAGCCCTTATTGGTGTGTTTCTAACATCAAGCGTCTGTAGTTCACACAGATTTTGAAGGGATAATGGAAGCTCATGTAGCCTTGTGTTTCTCAAGTCTAGATAGCGCAGCTCAACAAGATTGCCAATTTCATCAGGCAATATGTCAATAGGAACAATACGCAAATCTAACACATGCAGCAGTTTAACTTTTGATAGCAAGTTCAACAAAATAGCTGTCTGGAGTGGCCTGCCCCCAAAGAAATGCAAAGAATGGATCTCTCTAGGGAAAGAATTAGGTGTTCCATTATCAATTTCTCCATGTATGGCCACAAAATGTGACGCCTTTAACAGCCAAACCTGCTGGAGTGGCCTTCTGCCACCCATAACCAGATCAGCCTCTTACATTGGATGTCACAATGGTGGGGAAACATTCCACAATAAAGGAAGCAGCATTTCAACATTGCTGGCAGGCTAAAGTAACATACTGTCAGGACTTTCTTGATCAAATTGGACTGAGGCAAACACTCATTAGCCTCCTCTAGCATATGGAGGACCTCATTCCAATTCCCAAGTTTCTCTAGGTTGATTGTTGAAAGCAAGCTCCCCATAGTGGCAATAGCTAGGGGGCTGCCTTCACAGATCTTCAAAATCCTCTTTTCAACCGATTTCACTGAAGAAGGCCAAGGCACCTCACCAAGGTCATATTGTTGCAAGAGTGCTCATCTGCGAAGAAGCTCCAGACCATCTTCTGCCAGTAGTGGATCAAGATGGAGAACACACTTGCATATAACTGCAGGAAATGCTGAATTAGAGGTCGTCATTACTACCTTCCCTCTGCAACTAGTGGGTAATGCACACTTAATACCTTCAAAGGCATTTAGGGTATCTAAGCCATCTAAGACTACCAAGAAGTTCTTACCACCTAAGTAGTCACGGATCATGTTTGCTAAATCTTTGTCACCCTTTTGATCTAAATTACTCACAGGGCTCTTTCCTGAATGGCTTTTGGAAAAATCTGTAGCCATGTTTCTTAAAATTCGAATGATCGAACGCCCACAAACTGAAAGCCAGGCAGAACAGTCAAAATGTCTATGCACACTCTCATACACTCTTAGGACAAGAGTAGTTTTACCAATGCCTCCTTTTCCAGTTACGGCAACAAGATCTGGTCTATCATCCTCAACGACATGAAGTAGCAATTCCTTGAGCATTGTAAATTCTTTGCTCCTTCCAATCATATTGGTTGATGGAAGCTTATGGGAGGACTTTAAATGTTTTATCAGGTTTTCATGTCTGGATTTAGTGATGTTTCCATACAAGCTTAGATGCTTCCTCATGGCTTCCAGTTCCTTAAACTTCTCTGAGACGTGCATCAGCAATGATTTGTAACTGGTGTGCGGTTTATTTGAGGTGGTTCCATAGTTATAGGGATCACTCAAGAAATCTACGAGGGAAGACAGAGACAGACCATTTGTCTCCTTTCTTCTACTGCAGTCCTTGTCAATGACATCTACAAACTCATACACCATGTTTATCACGTCTGACACCCATTTCATAATTGCATTGTCAATCGTCATCATCATCTTTCTCCAATCTGCATTTTTCAGAAATGGCCTGATTTTTTCAAACTCAATTTTGATGCTATTTAATTCTGTTGCGCTTCGTTTGTCAGTTTCAAATAAAATCCAATCCTTCAATTTTCTAATGTGGTACTCCACTGCAACCTCAGCCATGTTTCCAAATTCACATGCTGTCCCTTTATGTTATAATATCAGTTTGAGAATCACTTCTGTACACAATGCGTCATTCTGCCACCAGTTTGAAAGGAACAACGTCACAAATACAGAGAGAGAGAGAGAGAGAGAGAGTACCCAGCTAATGTTTCTGTCAAATCAAAGACTGATATACTATAAGATCTGCACATAAAAATTCTAATAATGACTCAAAAATATTGGAAAGGAAAAGTTGAAAAAACTGAAGAAATGGCACTTGGATTTATTTCACAAACTACAGTGATATTTATCAGCCTCGTAATACAGAGAATTCAAGCTCATTTTAGGCATTATAGAATTAAGCTGGAATCTGAATCAAAATAAACAAGAAAACCACTGACTAGAAAGCAAAATGATGGTTGAACTAGTTTTTTAACTAGCATTTTGAAGAGGAAATTGCCAAAAATAGAAGGGAACGGAGACTCGGAATACAAATTTCTCCAAGTCTCAGCTAAGTAAAGGACATGTTATATGACACTCTAATTCTTAAGTCAGCCAAGAATCCAATGTCCTTATCTCACACAATTACCGATCTTGCAAGCAACCCATCAAACAAAAATAAAAAATAAAAAATGGTTAACACTGTGTTTTGTAACTGCATTTAGCAAGTTTTGGAACAAAAACAAACTCCATTTATCCAAACTCATCGAAAAAGAAAAGGCACCCATTATTGTTAGCAGATTTACATCATCAGTCCAATTTACATCAGCCAACGTAAAGTATTGAGACTCAAAAAAAAAAAAAAAAAAAAAAATCCCACAATGAAAATTCTAAATCTTGAGGGATAATCAAGATTCCAGCCACAACCATTAAATTTTAATATAAGACACATAATAAAAATTTACAAAAGCAAACACAAATGGATGCTAAAATGCCAAATATCTTAAACGAGAGAGACCAGAAAGAGAAAGAAACCTTAGGGTTTATGGCCATCCAAAGATGGCGAGAATAGAGAGAATTCGCAGCCTCCTCCTCTGTCGTGCGTAAAATTGTGCTTTTTGATTTTTCTTTTTTTCAGTGGAGAGTGAAGATTGGGAATCTGAATCCAGGGTAAAACTGAGATACCAATATTGTAATTTTTTTTTTTTTTTTTGCCTTTTTTTCTAATGAAAAGTAATTACTGTTGTCTAAATTTGGAGTAAATTATAAATTAGTCCCTCTTGTTCAAAGAAATAAATTGATTATCTCTTTTGTTTCAAAACCAACCATTTGATTTCTATATTTTTAAATCTATTTCTAATTTAGTTATTTTTACTCAATTTATTTTGATTTAAACAATATAGAAAGATTATTAGAAAATAATGCATTTTATAAAATAAAAATAATATTAAATTAAACATAATCAACACTAATTAAAAAATTAAATAATAATTTTTAATTAATTCGTTTCTTAAAACTAGAGAAAATAATTTATAATTTACTAGCTGTAAGATTTACCTATATTCATATAATATTTTTCCTGTAAATTAAAAATTAAAAAAAAAAAAACAAAGTAATTACTGCTGTAAGATTTACCTTGAAGTGTTGGGAAAAAAAAATTCAGCTACATATAAGAAGCTAACGATGATAATCCCATAAATGGATTGGAGAGATGGTCTTGATCTTAATATGTGAAAATTAGTGGTAGAATACTTAGAAGGGAAAAGAAATAAAACTAGAAGTAAATATTATTATGTTGAGAAAAAGGAAAGGCTTTTAGATTTTTGGTTTTTTGTTGAAGTCAATTCTGGAATCCCTCTTGAACATTATTTAAATAGTTTGAATAAAAAAGAAAAGAAAAGAATTCCATGCTTTAAACATTGTTGGATATAAATTTATTTAACTTTATGTAAATTATTTTTTTCTTCGAATATGAAATTAATAGCCACAAAGGGATTTTAAGTACCCTATGAATATTTAAAATTATTACATGAACTTAATTTACGAAAAAAAAGAGATTGCTCACATAAACGACACCCTTTTTTCCCCCTAATTGATAGTATTATTTTTCTTGAAATGATAGGAAGATTGATAAACATCAAAGTGCGAATCAATCTATTAAAAACACAAAAGGTAACTTATGTTACTGGGATAAGTGTATATATTTGCCATAGCACATTCGGCGAGAACCAACTAGCTAGCTAGCTTCAAATTCAATTGACATTTCACCCATCTAACCACTAATCTTCCTCTAATTCGTTGTTCCAAACTGCACTTATTTGCCATCCATTCCATTGCAAACGTACGATTTCTGAGGAGAAGTAGGACCAAAACTATGAGCACCAGAAGTGCCATAAAAATCCATGGCACGCCATCGAGTTGGATTGGAAGAACTGCACCAAACTAAGAGGATGGTGAGGGATAGCAGGTCACATAGAAATGCCATTAGGTGAAATCCTGTAGCCACCAGTGGAAAGACTTGCCATAGCAGGATTCCTATGATTGAGGCATAGAAATTGAGCATCAAAATGAAAACCATTGAGTGGAAGCTAAAAGGGCTGGGGCCAAACTTAATCGTGGTTGCTATTGACCGTACAAAAGGCAGCAAAGAGATTTGTCATCTGTTGCTGCCTCGACGTTCATCGTCTGATCAAATTTTGGAGTTTCAGCTCTTAGTTCACCTGTCTCCACATAAAGGCTGCTAGGGTTCTCAGCCGAGCAGCAGGAATCATTCTCGATGTGCTGAAGTGGGAAAAGAAAAGAAAATGTGATTATGAGGAATTACAAATTAAATAAAATGATCAGCATCTTAATGAAATTTTTAATTAATGTATATAACTAGCTATTATCCAATTATATAAAGTAAAAATAATGGAAATGTTAGCACTTTTGGGAGTGATCTATAATAAATATATCCTAGTGGTTTTCTTAAATCGAAATAAACAAGCCAAAATTGATCCCATCCCATGTTTAGAGAATTCTATCATGTCTCATCTATTTGGCTTCGTTTTGTCGAGCCAGACCAATATTTCTGTTGGCTAATCAAACGAATGCTGGCAGAAGAGGGTAGCTAGATAGGGCGAGAAGGGATGAAGTTGGGGAGATTGAAGAGGATGATATCCTTGCATGAAAGATGTTCCGATTATTTCAGGCATCATTTGCAAAATGATCATAACACTTGCCCATTGATTCGAACCCATAAAATGTTTTAGAATTTTAGATCATGAAGACACACATGTACACCCATAAATTGAGCACTCTCTCTTACACACGCAAAAAGAAGAAGAAGAAGGAAGAAGGAAGAAGCTAGCCTAGAAAAAGAGTGAAGTTGAACTCTCTAATCCAAGTACCTTGGCTTCATTGGAGTTGGCGGGAGAGAGAAAACGTTGTCCCAATAGGAGCCCATTTATAAAGCTTTTTGCTGTCTCTCTGGAAGAGGACATCGTTTATTTTTATGACATCGAAATTGTCCTATAAGTTGCTTTTGAGGTCTACGAGGCATACGAGGTGTGATAATTGTAAACTCACAAAGTCTTAATCATCATCTATGTTTAATAAAAAAGTTGAAATTCAACGTATCTAATTTCAAACATTTTTTGTCGTTGATGAAGTGATTGTATACAGGCTTCTTCGTGATAATCGTTACGTGCAGATTTCTTCTTTTCTTTCTTTCTTTTTTTTTTTTTATTATGCATATTAATGCTAATTTTGATCCTCACATGTAAAGGTTCACACTATCCAGTTAAAATTGAAAAATCAAATCGAATTAACAATTTTGATTCAGTTATATAAAAAAAATTACATATATATATAATCAAAACTAAAAACTAAAATTATTTTAATTCGGTTTGATTTTTTTAAAAAAATTTGATTTTTATCAAAAACTGAATATACGAAACAACCCCTTACCTTTATCTTATGATATTTAAACCAAAACACAAAAAGAAGAAATAAATTGCCAAAAGCTGTCAAGCAAAATAGGGTCCAAACATGGGCACATAGCTTCCTACTCCAAAATAGGGTAAGTCGTGGCCTTTTAGGTTGTTCCAAGAGAAAATGTAAAATTCAGTAAAGGAAAAAAAAACATGTAGAGAAAATAAGAACCCAATTTTTAATCGAAAACCAAAACACTAAACTGAAAATTTTTATTTTTGTTTTAATTAATTTGATTAACTAAAAACCAAAATCAAACCAAAATGATCACCCTTACTCACAAGAAATGTATAGATGCCTACGAAAAGAAGTTTTGGACTTTCTCAATTTAGCCCTAACCATCTCGTTATTAGTGAAGTCTTAAAAACCTTTTGATTTTATTAATTCTATCATAAACATAATCAATACTAAATAATATTACCCTTCCATCCATTCGTAGTATATTAGTGTTTTGTGAGTTTTTGTTAAGTATTTTCATTCAAAATAAAAAAAAAGTCCTAGTATGTTTGAAGATATAATTTAATGCCAAATTATGGTATGTATACTTTCAATTAGAATCCACTAAATTGTAATAAATAGAAAAGTCTAGAAAGTGGAGGAAAATTTGCTAGATTCAGAGCTAAAAATGTTCTTAAAAAAAACAAAAAGAGGGTTTATTTCAGTGTTTTGGATGAAAGCATCTAACAATCAAGTGCAAATTCAATAGAATCTTTTAACCGTAACTAGTAATTGAATGATGGGAGGGTGACACTGTCTGATTTTGATTACGTCTGTGGTTAAATTAATAAAACCAAAAAATTTAGAACGCAATTAATAATAAGATAATTTATTAGGAGCTAAGTTGAGTTTTTTTTTTTTTTATGAATAGTTGTTATTAAATTGAGTATGAATATACAAAATCTTTACACACTCAATAATGAATATGGTACTAATATTATCAAATCCGACCTGACTTACATGTATTATTATTATCTAAACATTTATCTAAATTTTTTATAGTCTTTCCATTAAATATAATACATAACATTACAAAAATTTTGCAAATTAGCAAGGAAATTTTCCGTCTCTATTTGATAAACATTTTTCGCTATGTACAATTAACAACGGATTAGAGATAATATTCAATATGTCACTAAAATGATGGTTGCTATTTTTTTAGCGATCAAATTTTTTTCTATCGCTATTTTATTGAATGTTCGTCGCTAAATGATTCTAAATCAATCGTTTCGATGTCTTAAATCCTTCACTCGACCGTCATTATTTCCACTTACATTCCTTGCTAAATAGTGATGGAAAGTTCTATTGCTAATAACCTTGTAATTTTATCGCTAGTTTCGTTGCTATTTAACGACCGAATATGTATTTGTCCCTAAGTCCATCGCTATTTAAAAAAAAAAATCAATTGTCATTTATTGGTAATTGTAACAACAAATAAATATAAATAACATCTTATTAAAATACGTTATATTATAAAATTAAATTAAAATTGTATAAATTAAAATAAATATATAAATGCTTTAAGATGTATAAAAATATTTAAAATTTTTTTGAAAAAATAAGAAATTTAGTTTTCATTATCACCATCTTCTCGCATCAACTTTTGGTCGTTGGTCGTTGAGAGAAACGACCGATTGTTGGGTTGTTAAAGGGTTAGTAGGAGGGATAGGAGATAGCTAAAGATTCTCTAATAACCTCATAACTCTCTACAATTGAGTCTCCACTTTGCTAGCTTGATTGGCTCGTTGCTAGATGGTAGCCTCCATTCTCTTGATCCGATTTTCATATTAGGCGTAAACCTTCTAAATATTACAACCGGGATACCGTAAAGTCGTCGAGGAGGAGCCGTTGTTAGAATACGAGTAATACTAAGACATATAAGTTCTAATGTCATGCGCTCTTTGCTTTTTCTCCCTTCTAGCAGCATCTAAACATATCTTGGAATTGTTGATATCTAGAGACGATGTATCATTCTCTTGCCACTCTTTAGCGACTACTTCTTGCTTTAATTGCATGTGCTCCTACGTTATTGAAAGAATAAAAATATTGAACCATAAATATAATTTTTTAGATTATATTGATTGATGTACATATATTTTAAAAAATATTAAAAAAAAAACCTTACCATTACTCGTCTACGATCGTTTATCGACGAATGTCCCATCATTCCGCTTATGAGTAGTCACAAACAATTTGTAAAGATTTAGATTATGATCTAATTTATGATGCTAAAAAAAATAAAGAAAATAATATAAAATGAAATAAATAAATAAAAATTAATTTATCATATAATGGATAATATAGTATTTACAAAATACTCAACATGGTTGATCAATGAGATGGACCCTTCGGTATGCTTGGATAGGTCGGCACTAACACCGCCCATCTCCGACAAGTGGTTTTGAGATGTCCGCTAAGATCGAGCCCGATACTCGAGAGTGGCCCAATCCTAGTGTCATGCTTTCTCGCACCTCTTGTTTAACATATATAAGTATGTTATCCTTATGCTTCAATTTGTTGAGCATATTGTCGTACCACCTCCGTGCCGGACTCTCCAATGCATCCTTAATCGGTATGTTGACGGTCGCATCCCATAAAAAATTACTTTTACATAAAGAAAAAAAATATTTGTATTTTTAATATTAAATTAATACTTTAAATGAAATATAAGTAAATAATTAATATGTTATCCTAAACTCATTGAAGTTCAAGTCTTTCGTCTCCATAGAGACACACTTCCATGTGGAGTTAACGACATCCAACCACTCTTTGAAAATTTTCATGATTTTTATGGAGCACTTGCTTAATGGAATCAAACAACTCGAACAAAACAAACAAATAATAAACAAGTGAATTAAAGATTAAGTTTAAATAATTGAAAATATAAAACTAATTATCGATATAAAACATATTATTACCGATTATTCAAGGCCTAAATGGTCCATCCATCATCGGATCTAGTAAACTTTTTGAAGTTGAGGTTACTATAGTGAGATCATCTATAGTAAGGTACACTACCAAGAAAGGCACTATTGGAGGGGATAGAGACATGCTATCACTACTATCAAATTTGCAGCCCTAAACAAGTTAGACTAGCAATGTCATATCCACGTACGCTATCACTATCCGTCACATAGTCAAAATCGAGCCACGACCATTGACATCGTGATCGCTTCCGTCTAATATAAGAGGCATGACTCAAGAATAGCATGTGACATATTTTAACAAATAAATAATAATTCGACAACAAATATATTATAAATTATGAACCGAGAAAAACAAAATCCAACATATCCAAAATGCACAACAAACATTAAAAAAAATACATAATAGATAAAATGATATAATTTAATGAATACAATAAATAAAATTGATCTTTAATTACAACTCGTCATATTAATCTTCTAAGTTTTCTTCTCCTTCAATCATTCCGATACATATTCACTCTCATCTTTTTTATTAGCTTTAACTATCTCTATATCTATAAATGATCCATTTGGATCATTTAATGACTATTCTTTAGCATCATCTTCGGACCAAATTATGTCGGATTTTCAAAGTGCTCTCTTAAAACGGATCCGTATTATGTTGGACTCCATTTGACGCTTCTAGCAAATCAACAATAACCTAGTTTTTATCTTACAAATAGCTCACCAATCTCAATGGTGACGCTTATCGCTACTCGACTTCGATGTGACTAAAAAATTATGATTTTTGTTTGTCAAAAATTTTGATGATTTGGGGATGTGAGTTATTTATTAATTTTGGAAGTCACCACCTAGAATTGAAGGAACTAGGAACCTAAAATGGGTACTAGTTTAGATATTCTAGGGTAAAGAAGTGGCTACTCTTTTGGAGTTATACTTTTGGAAAGGTATCAATCATCCAAAATCATTCTTTATTAACAAACGTACCACGTCTAGTTTAGTCCTAAAATTTATCTCTTAAGGAGCTTTATTTGTGTCAAATTATTTTTAATTTGAACTCTCAAGTTTTTATTTCCAAGGCCAAATTAAAATTTTTATTTTTATTTGTAGCATCTTATTGAATCTATCATCGGACCCCTTCATTAAGAGATATGTCAATTCAAAATCGAATTCAATTTAAGTTTCGACACAATCGGTATGTCGGAGAATAACTTAACTACTAAAGTGGTTTATTTCGCTAACTTTAGTCCCTATTAGATAAGAGACCTTGTTAATTTTTCCTCACATTATTTATTTATTTTTTATATTCTCTCTTTTTATGATTTTTCCTTATATATATATATATACATTCCTTTTCTCTTTTGTCTCTTTTTTCTTATGATTTTTCTTTGCTTATTTTTTTTCTTCTTTTAACTCCATTTTTTCTTATGATTTCTTATTTACCCATTATTTTTTTTTGTTTTTTTTGTATTTGTTTTGTATGTTTGGTAGTAGTCCATCATCGATCCCTAAAAATTAAGAGACTCGATGATTCGTTCACCGATTAATTATTTATTCTAATTTTTGATCTAA